TACAGAGGATGTGCCTGGGTATTCTAGTATCATCTCCCTAGCTCAAGATGCTTAATCACAACTACAAAATCCTTTCTTCCTATATAAAGTAACATATGTATTTACAAATTCCAGAGATTCAGCTATCACATCACACATTCTATGTTTTTGGTTTTTTTTTGAGACAGGATCTCACTTTGTCACCCAGGCTGGTGTGCAGTGGCAGGATCATGACTCAGTGCAACTTCTGCCTCCTGGGTTCAAGTGATCCTCCCACCTCAGCCTCCTGAGTAGCTGGGACGAAAGGCATGCACCACCGCAACTGGCTAGTTTTTTATTTTTATTTCTTTTGTGTAGAGACATATATGGCCTCACTATATTGCCCAGGATGGTCTCAAACTCCTGGGCTCAAGCTACCCTTCTGCCTCAGCCTCCCACAGTGCTGGGATTACAGGCAGGAGGCACACACCTGGCCTATGATTCTATTTATATGTAAAGTCCAAAATAGGGAAGTCCAGAGGCAGAATGAAGCTTAGTAGTTGCCAGGGCCTGGGAGGAGGGAGCAATGGGCAGTGAATGATAATGGGTACAGGGTTTCTTTTCAGAGCAATAAGCAGTTTCTAAAATTGATTGTGGTGATGGTTGCACAAATCTGTGAATATATTACAAACACTGAATCGTGAATTGTGTGGTATGCTAATTATGTTTCCATAATGCTGTTTAAATATATATATGCAAACATTATGTTCTGATTTTGATCGGAGTGTTTGTTTTCCAATTCTGCAATCATGCAAATCGCTCATTTGGTTTAGTGTTGGGTAATAATGTGTATAAAAATTTGGATGTCTTTTAAGTAGATAATTGCAATATAAATTTGATTCATCTAAAACATTTTTAAAGCATAATATGAATGATAAACTGCTATTTTCGTTTCTGTAAGCCCATATTACAGCTTGGCACTAAAATCTACATCCAGGAAGGGCAAGAAGCTAATATCTTTAAGTACCTTGAAATGATTCTAAAAAGTTTTGTCATGCAGAGATCCTTAGGTTGATGCAGTAAAGCCAACCTTTAATAATAACAGTATTAGTCGCATAATTTTATATTATTTTATTAATTACGGTAGTCACCTTTTTTTTGAGACAGAGTCTTGCTCTGTCCCCTAGGCTGGAGTGCAGTGACGTGATCCTGGCCTACTGCAACCTCCGCCGCCAGAGTTCAAGCGATTCTCCTGCCTTCTAATCCTGAGCAGCTGGTATTACAGGCATGCACCACCATGCCCAGCTTATTTTTGTATCTTTAGTAGAGATGAAGTTTCACCATGTATGCCAGGCTAGTCTTAAACTCCTGACCTCAAGTGATCTGCCCACCTCAGCCTCCCAAAGTGCTGGGATTACAAGCATAAGCCACTGTCCCTGGACAGGTAGTCACCATTAATTGAACAATACCTGAGTTCAATACAGAACGTAGTGCTAACTACCTTACATATGTTATCTAATTGATGCACCCGACTGTCCTGGGAAATAGAGTCTATTATTAATCCCAAATTACAGAAAATGAAGTGGAGACTTGTAGAATGTAACTTGCGCAAGATCACAACGGGCAGCAGCAGGTGTGAAAGGCAAGCTTCCGTGATTCTGAGGTGATACTCTCCATCTTCCTGGTGATGCTGCACAGGCCCTCTTGTGAGGTGTGCAGATGTGGCTCAGAAGCCTGGACGGCCAGTCCGTGTGCCTTCTACATCCAGGAGAGCCTGAGAAGAAGGCTTTTGGCTTTGTCTCCAAGTAAAGCTTTCTCACCATAACAAATCCGCTGGGATATTGGGAAAAAAAAAGACTGACAAATATTAAACAGCTTTAAAATTCACGTTCTATTGGCCAACTGCACAATCTGCACTGTGTTGTGAATTTGCATTTTCACTAGCGCTATGCTGTTATGACTGGCAATCTTGTGGTGTAATATTTTTATATTATTGAAAGCATCCATTTGTAAAATGTAAACACTAAATACATCAGATTCCCTCGTCTTGTATTTGCACTTCCCCATGAATAGCACCTTGGACTTTCTTAGGTGTACGGTAGTCCCAGTTCTGTAAGTTCTGTGCATATAAATTATGACGGATGTAAGTTGAAAAAGTCCCCTCTGAGTGAGGTAAATCTGGAAATACAGTGTGCTTGCTCATCCTAATAAGATTCATAGTTATGATCATACACAAATACACACACCAGGGAGAACTCACTGAGCCTGGAACTCTTGTCACTCTGATGTCCCAAAAAAAAAGCTTCCTTTTTCATCCCAAGGCAAGGCTGAGCTCAGGTGAGAAAGGAAACTCTCCTTTTCCCCATCAGAGACTGGGGAAGCAGTACACACCTCTATCCACACAGGTGAGCCAAGAGCACGGGATACTCTCCAGTGAACTGGCATTGGAGTGGCTGAGGGCTGGACTTTCCATGCTGTAGAATTGCACAGGAATGTCACACATTGTGGGACAGGTAAAGGCTCAGCTAGAGAACCTTTGTGGCGCCCAAGTTTAGAAACATCTGCCAGGCACCAGCCCGCGAGCACAGCTCCCAATAACACTCAGCCAATGGCAGAGTTGACTAATCCTGCCTTATGATTTCATTAAACCTCATAATATCTGTAACTTAAACATCAGTATACCTTATGTGCTCCAGTTTAAGTAGAAAGAGGCCAGTGTCTTTAAAGGCAATGCCAACTTTTTCAAAATAAGTAAAATATTGACCAGGACAGCCTTTAAATGCAAGCACGTAGTCTGGTTAAAAGAGAACTCATTGAAACATGGACTTGAGTGGTGGTACTACTTTTAAGTTTGTAGAAAGGATATTCTTTTTAGGGTCTAAATAATTCATTGACCAGAATATGCAATACCTTCTAGTCATGAAAATTATGATAAATGTTAGTGCTATTTGATTCAACAGCACATTAAAGCATTTTCTGCCCATTACTCTGTAAGGCGCTCCATTTCCAAATAACAATGCTCATTTCCCTGAACTCTAACGTAGTGTTTCTATAAACTTAATATTCTGACAATCAGATTCTGTGTATCAAAGCTATTCACTTTATATCTAATGTTTCCCAAAGGAAAAAAGTTTACTGTATTTTTTAAAATGAATAAGAAGGTCAAATACTTTAATGATACCCTCATATCTGTTTTATTCTATTTTTTATAATTCAGGGTCTCACTCTGTTGCTCAGGATGGAGTGTAGTGGCACCATGTTAGCTTGCTGAAGCCTGGAACTCCTGGTCTTAAGTGATCCTCCCACCTCAACCTCCTGAGTAGCCAGGGCTACAGACATACACCACTACACCTGGCTATTTTTAAATTTTCTCTGTTGTAGTTACTAGTCTGTGGCTTCAAATGCCTTTGAGGAAGTTCATTCTTTTCTAGTGAAGGTTATGTGCAACCTTTCTCAGAGTTGAAAATATCCTGAATGCTATTGCCTGCCTCATAGCTTGAATAATCCTTGAGATTAAAAAGGAAAGACTAGAACTCATTACAAACTATTTGCCCCAAAGTTGCACCCAGAAACTCAGAGCATTAAAACAAATCCCCAGTGTTTCTACTTTACTTACATGGATACTCTAGTCATAACGATCAAACTGAAAGCTTGGTATGTTTATTTTCAAATTAAGTAATAGAGTTTTTTTTGTTGTGGTTGCTTTCTGTGACTCTGATTTACATTTCAGTTGTTTCACTAAACTTGGATTTTCTTCCTCCATTGAGTGTCTTTCATTCAAAATGTTTTTATCAATAGCACTAGGTTAGAGCTCAGGGAAATTTGCCATGTCATAATCTGTAATTACAGGGAATTAAGCTTCTTAGGCATTCAAACAAAACTTGTCATTTGACAAAGTCAAATACGTCACAGTTTTAACCAGCATTAATTGTGATTACAGATTGTTTGTGAGAACATAACACAAAAGTAGCAACTGGGGCTCTTTCCAAAGACAGAGTCAATATATGAGATTCTGTACTGACCAATTATTTATAAAGTCTATGAAATTTGTCAGATACTACTGGTAGAAAAAGATTTATTAGAACAACTAACGTAAAATGCAATGAAATAGATTGTCTTTTTATGAAATATTAATATCCACAAAATCTGGTAACGATAAGCCTGTATTTGCAATTCTGTTTGTGGATATTCTTAATTCAAGTGGTTGATGGGGGTTTAAGCTCTCATGACCAGGAGCACCCCAAATCACAAAATCAAAAGAGCTTCTGAGAATAATAAACATCGAATTCAGAATAAGGATTCTCTCACAGCAAAATGCCACCGTTTGGGAAGTGAGCTCAGTAGGTTTGAACACTGCTTGCTCTATCACTACAGTCATTTTGGCCTGTCGGTGTTTCTATTTATTCTCATTCCTCAAACAAGATTGCAAAAAGGGCTCTTTCTGGCTTAGACGAACAATGGGTAATAAGGACACCCATTTTCCACAACGAGGTGATAGGCAACCACTCGCAAAGATCGTTAGAGAAACGTAGGAGAGCATAGAAAGGTTGATAGAAAAGTCCAAGTGTTTACACATTTCTTCAGAAAGTCACCTGTGCTCTTCTGTGCCAGGACTACCCTCCCCAGGGGTAGCAGCACGGTGTGTGCTTTTCTCATGGTCAGCAAAGTGGAGGGTGTATTTTTCCCATGACGTCATCAGGTAAAAGATGACACTGAGATGAGGATTCAGGGGCTAATAATGTCTTCGGTCCGTATGATCAGAAAACACTGTCGGGAAGTGAAGTCATGACAAAGAAAGGGGAAGCAGCTTTTAGAAGGACTGCTGTCAAGCTGGTCACCACTGTGGGGCAATCAGAGCTAAGTCTCAGTGGGCCCCGCTTGGAAAGAGTACAGAATACACACCTGGGAGTTAGCTTCCCTCAACAACAGAGACATGGAACTAACATATTCGCCCACCAATTCTTCTGTTGGTGGGGGGAGGTAAAGTGCATTTATTAATTAAATATGAGATTTAAAATGTTGTTTGCCTTTATTTTTATCTTTAATTTTAATGAGTATATAGTGATATACTTATGGGTTACATGAGATATTTGGATGCAGGCATATGAGTAATAACCACAAGTATAATTGGAATGTTTGTAATATGAAAAAAAGGATAAATGCTTGAGGTGACAGATATCCCATGCACCCTGATGTAATGATCATTTACCAATTCTTAACAGGTGCCATCTGAGGACAGCTTTTGGGGGCAGAGATGCTAATTCTCTGGCGTGGCTTCCCTGCCGTTTGCAAAGGCAGAATGGGTCCTGTGGTCAAAGAGAACTTTCAGCATAAAGTCATGATTGGAAATGTGCTCTGGCACATGTGGAAATGAAAACCCACCATGGAGTTATGGATGGAAAAGGGGCAGCATCCACTTCAGGTTTGAGGGAAACACAGGTATTGATTGATCTTCTTTGGAGTTTGTGGGGGCCCAGGGACTGATTCTAGATGCACTTCTAGAAATGCCTAATAGAAATATTAACTGGACCAAGCCAGCTGGTGAAATAAATGCTTTTCTTTTTTTTTCTTTTTTTTGAGACGGAGTTTCGCTCTTGTTACCCAGGCTGGAGTGCAATGGAGCGATCTCGGCTCACCACAATCTCCGCCTCAGATGCTTTTCTGCAGTAGAGGTAGGTGGTCACAAGTATGCATCTCCTGGAGCCAGCTGTGGAACCAGTGATCAGGACGGCGACCTGTATGGTCTGTAATAGAAGATAAGAATTTATCCGGATAAATAAGGGAACACTGCCCATCCTGAGGGGGATCCAGTGAGAGGAAGTCAGTGGAGGACTCTCCCCAGATGTCAGTGAATTGTTTCAGAGAGAAAGTATCTCAAATGAACCTCAACTGGAGGAACTTAAGAGGAGATGACATCTGGGCCAGTGGACAGGACCTTTCTTCTGGTCTTTACTCCTCTCTCCCGGTTCCTACCCTGAGAAAGCCCGAAGTGGCCACGAACAAAAAAGTGGGTGATGTAATAGGAGCAGTGTCCTAGATGAAAATGTTTTCAGAGGAAAGGAAGGCAAGAGCTCCTAGGAAAGGGAAAAGGAGGATAATGGTCCACTCTTGTCATGTTTTGAGAAATTCAAAGTGACTCCAGATGTGCAGATATTACTCACATATAACAAAATACAAAAAGTTCATCAGGAGCAATCTTCCCAGTAGGTTTGTCATAAGTTTTTTTGTTTCTAAATTAAAAAAACTCTTCCTGGAAGGGAATTAAGAATTTTCTCTCTGTCTCTTCATAAAATGTCTAATTCTTAGTAAGGGTTGGCAGTTCCACAATTGCCCAGACGAACCACATCTTAATGTCCTCCAGACCTATGATCTAGAAAGAGTAAGATGTCTATGGAAATGTGAAGAAATGTGGGAGCAGAATGGCAAGAGTTGTATATGCATGAGAGACTCAGAGTAAAAGGAGAATGTCTACAGATGAGGCTCTGAAGTTAATTGCTTAGGAACATGGGAAAGTTTGTTTTAGACAGGTTCCTGCAGATGGAAGCACCCGGCTTCACCAGTTCCATTTGAGGTACCAGTTGAGGTTGAAGTGTCAACTCTTCAAGATTAGCGTGCGTGTGTGTGTGTGTGTGTGTGTGTGTGTGTGTGTGTTATAGTTAATGGCAGAAGAGCAAGGGGTAAGCCAAGACAAGTAGGCTTTTCTTTGAGATATGGTCTCACTGTCACCCAGGCTGGAATGCAATGGCTCCATCACAGCTCACTGCAGCCTCTATCTCCCTGGGCTCAAGTGATCCTCACACCTCAACTTCCTGAGTGGTCAGGACTACAGGAACATGCCACCATGCCAGGCTGACTTTTGTATTTTATGTAGAGGCGGGGTTTTGCCATGTTGCCCAGGTTAGTCTCAAACTGGGCTCAAGCAATCTTCCTTCCTCACACTCCCAAAGTACTGGGATTACAGGCATAAGCCACCATCATGAGCCATGTAGGCGCTTAAAAAACCCTGGACTTACATCACATTTGCTAATATTCCATTAATCAATGCAAGTCACATGGCCACTCTCAATATCTCAACCAGCAACAAAGTAGATGCCAGCCATAAGCAGAGAGCTGAAGCATTGCATGATGAGGGACACATACATTTTTAACATGTGGGAAATGAAGAATTGAGAAAAAGTATTCAATCCACTATAACTTGATTTAAATATTTTGTCCATTATGATTGTTAACATAAAGCCCTTCCATTTAGTTAATACATCACTGCTATCATCTTTTCTTCTGATATGAAACAAAACATCAACAGTAGGGTGTGCACAGCATTGGCCTGGCCATACCTTCTTGGGCGAGTGTCTCCCTGTGCTCTCCACTCCTGGGGTCTTAGTTTTGCTGCTAAAGATTATGATTTAGATTCAGAATTTAAAAAGCCAGAAAGACCAGCCTGACTGTAGTACAGAGAGCAAAGAATCATTCTATGAATGCATGCTTTAAAGAAAGTTGTAGCAAATGGAACCAAGAGATTTTTAGCTGATGTGCCTGAATTTTCTATGTCATTAATTATATCATCTGCAAAGAATAACAATTCTTCTTGTCCTATCCAATGTTTATGTGTTATTATTTTAAATTTCTCGTTGAATTGGTCAAGAACTCTCATACAGTGTTGAGTATTCTTGGTAATAGAGGGAATTTCCTTCTACACTTCACTACAGAGTGAGATGTAGTTAAAAGCTTCCGGTAGATATTCTCTATGATGTTGAAGAAACTCCTGAGATAAGTGAGGACATTTGGCTGTTGATTTGTTTCTAGTTTTGATTGATGAGGAGTCAGCGTTATGAAACAATGTGTTCAATTTGGCAAGCTTTATCAATAGGATCGTAGGGTTGTCTAATCTGCTTCACGGCAGACACTGGTGTCGTGACAGCTTTGCATGCTTGATATTCCATTTGCTTGTAAAAAAATAAATCCTAGTATATGACAAGATTTCACTTATTAGTAAGATTTAGACCTTGGTATCTATTTTAATAATAATCGTTTGTATTATAACTTCTAAGATGATCAGTTCTTCTACCATTTATTGAGTAATTTTGATAATGTTTAGTTTTCTTAAGAAAATTTTCCACCTCAAAATATTCTGCTCCCTTCAGTTTCTTGTCAGGGGAAACCATCTGCCCTGAGGATTCTTTTGCTCTTAAAGACATTTAGTGGCTGATTTCTAATTCACGCTCCTCTTGCTCTTGAGACTAGGCATGAAGTACGCATCCTGCTTGTTTCTCATTGTAGCTTCTAAAATATTATGAATCATTGTGTTTTGAAACTCAAATTTCACCATTACTGGCTTTCTTTGTCCTAGTTATTGGTAGATGACACAAATGTCAATCTTCCTTATGCCATAAAGCTGTGAATTCTTGGCTCCCCCTTCCCCTCCTCAACACTCTTATATCATCATTATCTGTGGGTTCATTTTTCACACGAAAAATCCTTTTACATGAGTGTGATTTCAGTTTATTCACCTCTCTTTTATTATTATCATTATTATTATTATTTTGAGACAGAGTCTCGCTCTGTTGCCCAGGTTGGAGTGCAGTGGCACGATCTTGGCTCACTGCAACCTCCTGCTCCTGAGTTCAAGCAATTCTCCTGCCTCAGTCTCGCAAGTAGCTGGGACTACAGGTGTGCACCACCACACCTGGCTAATTTTTTGTATTTTCAGTAGAGATGGGGTTTCACTGTGTTAGCCAGCGTGGTCTGGATCTCCTGAACTCATGATCCATCCACCTCACCCTTCCAAAGTCATCCCTGCCCATGATCATAATGGATACAATTTTGAGAGAAAAAGTTTTAAAGTAATATAGAATATTTCTATTGGATTAAAATGTAGAGAGAACATCTGGATAGCAGGGATCTTTCCAAAGTCTCACTCAGTCATATGTAAGGTAGAAATGGTAAGGAACATTTTGCACCCTGAATGAAGCATTACATATTACATTTTAGAAAAAGTCTGCATGTCACAATATTCTGCTACAGAGAAAAACTCAAATGTAAACAAGCACATTTAGATAAATATGAACATTATGTTCTCCTTCAGCAGATTTTCCTGCTCTCAGTTTCTGGCATATTTTCTCAAATGTTTTATCAAACATAAGCATCTGCCACTGTTTCTGATGGCCTGATAAATAAGCAATACTAGGGAAAAACATTCCAAAACAGTGATAGGTATACTTCTTAAAGAAAATCATTCTTTTATTGCTTTGTAACTGAAATTCCATTCTTTTACTTTGGAAATTCATTGACTATGTCTGAAAGAAGAAAAATAAATCAGTTGGATCCAAATACTTGGCTTAGTTTGTGAGAAAGAGAAACAGTAGGTAAAAATTGAATATGTGGACCAGGCACAGCAGCTCATGCTTGTAATCCCAGCCCTTTGGGAGGCCGAGACAGGTAGATCACTTGAGGCCAGGAGTTTGAGACCAGCCAGGCAAACATAGCAAAACTTATCTCTGCTAAAAATTAAAAAAAAAAAAAAGTAGTCAGGTGTGGTGGCACACACCTGTAATCCCAGCTATTTGGCAAGCTGAGGCAGAAGAATTTTTTTAATCTGGGAGGTGGATGTTGTGGATGTTGCAGTGAGCCGAGATTGTGTCATTGCATTCAAACGTGGGCAACAGAGTGAGACTCTGTTTCGAAAAAAAGAAAAAAGAATGACTATGCAGCCCTGTGTATAATAAAAGGGGTGCATGCATTAGCTTGTATCTATCACACAATATTACTTTCTATAATCTTATAAACACAGATCATACAACTAACAGAATGTACCCACAGTGTGATTAATTAAGGGGAATTCAATCACAAATCACAGCCAAATACCTCTTCTAGTATTTAGTTTTACTGTCATATATAGCCTGGAATTAATGCATAATTGGTTTTCAAACCAGTTAACTCAGAATTGAATATGGTGGTGTGCACATGCGTCTTACATAATGTGGTCAGCTGACTGCTAGCCATTTGGTAGCCATGGTCTTCACATTCTAGGAATTGCATTGATCTTGTGTGTTATACAATAGATATTGTTTTAATTGAACATGTTTGTACTTTTGTAACGTAAATTATTACCTATTGTAAACAAGCATGTATTAGGCAGAGCATATTAATTATTAAATCATTAAGATATACACTTAGGAGGTTGGGCCGGGTTTACCACACTAACAATTTATTATAAAAACTTATCTAGGCCAGACGTTTTTTGTGGTTGTTCAAATTAGTAGAGAGTTTCACCTTTCAGTATTAGAGTCTTTTCTCTGTCTCACTCTCTCTTTTGCTCTCTCGCACATACAGTAAACCTTCACTTAACATTGTCAATAGATTATTGGAAGCCGTGACTTTAAATAAAATTGCATATAACACAACCAATCTTTTTTTTTACCAATGTTATTATAAAAAGATATTAAAGAAATGATGTTATTTGAAGGCATGATGTAATTCATTATATATATTTATATATGTTTTATATATTTTGTTATATATCTTATGTTATATATATGTGTGTGTGTTTGTGTGTATATAAATATATAATTTTTTCTTTTTTTGAGATGGAGTCTTGCTCTGTCGCCGGTTGGAGTGCAGTGGTGCAACCTTGGCTCATTGCAACCTTCGCCTCACAGATTCAACCTCCCAAGTAGCTGGGACTACAGGTGCATGCCACCACCCCCAGCTAATTTTTTTTTTTGTATTTTTAGTAGAGACAGGGTTT